GCTTTTTTACGACGTGATTGGGCAGCTTTCATATTCTCATTTGAATAATATGAACTTTCTTCTCGGCTTCTTCTACAAAGTCAATGCCATAATACCTTCTATCTCCGTGTTCGACCCAATTCAATGGTGTTCTACATTTTACGCCATATAAAGCTTGAATGGGGCCATCTTGATGCTTTCTTGATAACTATTATTATAAGAAAATTCAGCTACTTGGTAACCATGACTCCCATGATCCCTTAGAAGACAATACACGTGCTCTTAACATATCCTCCAAAACAAAGCATTCACTGCGTTCGGTCGACCATCCGTCATGCGAGGATGATAAGCGATGCATCGCTGAATCAAACTAGTTCCTAAGCCTTTGTGTAAATGTTCCCAAAAGTGAGCCATGAACTGTGAGCCTCTATCAGATACTATGGTCTTTGGTATACCATGCAACCTCACAATTTCTGTGATATACTTCTCGGCATATTGAGGTGGTCGATATGTTGTTTTGACAGGTAGGAAATGAGCGGTCTTGGTAAGACGATCCACAATTACCCAAATCGAATCAAGTCCTTTTGGAGTAGTGGGCAAACCCGTGATAAAATCCATACTTATATCGTCCCACTTCCAACTAGGGACTGATAAGGGATGCAACATACCGGCAGGTTTCATGTGAATTGCTTTCACTCGACAACATGTGTCACATCTGACAACATATGCTGTAATTTCTTTCTTTATTTTGGTCCACCAATAACGAGATCTTAGTTCTTGATACATCTTACTACTTCCGGGATGGATAGATAGCTTAGAAAGGTGAGCTTCATTCATGAGTTTATTCCTAAGCTCTCAGTCCTTGGGAACCACAAGACGGTCGTCAAACCACAACACGCCCTGTTCATCCACTTTAAAGTGTTGAGACGGCTTTTCTTTTATTTTCTCTTTGATGTGAAATATCCCCTTGTCGGTTTTCTGGCCTTCTATTATCTTACTCTCCAAAGAGCAACTAATCTGAATACTATGTAACACAGCAGGATGCATTAGATCGAACCCATCTTCAAGTAATGGCTGCACATTCAAGTAATGTGACTTTCTGCTCAAAGCATCTACCACTACATTGGCTTTTCCAGGATGATATTGCACATTCAAGTTGTAATCCTTGATCAATTCCAACCATCTGCGTGTCTCATGTTTAGCTCTGGTTGGGTAAAAATGTACCTAAGACTCTTATGATCTGTGAAAATGTTGCACACATTACCCAGTAGATAATGTCTCCAAATTTTTAGGGCGTGCACAACTACAGCAAGTTCAAGATCATGTGTTGGATAGTTGACCTCGTGCTTTCTCAATTGACGTGATGCATAAGCAATTACTCTCCTTTCTTGCATAAGAACACATCCTAATCCAGTCTTCGATGCGTCGCAAAACACATCAAATGGTTTCTCGATGTCTGGTTGTGCTAGAACAGGAGCAGTGGTCAACAGTTTCCGCAAAGTGTGGAAAGCTGCTTCACACTCCTCTATCCACACAAACTTGTGATCCTTCTGTAGGAGACTCGTCATTGGTTTGGCAATCTTCGAGAAATCTGGTATAAAGCGACGGTAATAACTGGCTAATCCTAAGAAACTTCTAATCTCAGGAACTGTGGTCGGTGCTTTCCAATTCATAACTTCTTGCACCTTACTTGGATCGATGAAACCCCATTCTCGATGAATGTGACCAAGGAAAGGAACTTCCTTCAACCGAATTCGTGATTTGCTAAACTTAGCATACAGCTTGATGATCCCTAAGTCGGTCAAGACAGGTTCTCGAGATGCTCTTCATGATCTTTCTCATTCTCGGAGTACACAGAATGTCATCGATGAACACTATCACAAACTTATCCAATTCGCATGAAAAGCGTATTCATAAAAAAACATAAAGTATGCAGGAGCATTTGTCAAGCCAAAGGACATGACAAGATACTCATACAACCCCAGATCGGTGGAAAATGCAGTTTTCGGTATATCCTGTGGCCTTATCTTGATCTGATGATAACCGGATCTCAAATCTATTTTTGAGAACACCTTGGCCTTGGATAATTGGTCAAACAGAACATCAATATGAGGCAAGGGATACTTATTCTTGATGGTCACGGCGTTGAGTGGCCTGTAATCTACGCACATTCTCAACGTGCCCTCTTTCTTTTTCTTCACAAACAAGGTGGGACATCCCCATTCAGACTTGCTTGGCCGAATAAACCCCTTTTTTGATAAATCTTCTAACTGCTTCTTTAGCTCAGCTAGTTCATCTGGAGGCATCCGATATGGTCTCCTTGAAATCAGAGCTGTTCCGGGGACTAACTCAATTCCAAACTCAATCTCCCTATCCGGTGGAAGACCAGGTAGCTCATCCGGGAATACATCCGGAAATTCACACACTACCGGAATCTGATGAATAGGAATGACTGCCGTAGCACATGTAACACTTATAAGGTCTGTTCTCCGAGGCAATGGTACTTGGAAAGGGGGCCATCTCCGGCCGGGCAGGGGCGCGAAAGGTGGTGCGGGAGCTTCACCGAGCTCGTGCGGTGGTTGTGCGCGCGAAGTAAAGGTAGGAAGAGGAGCGGAAAGGGGGAGTCCACGGGAGCGGAGCTCATCAGCGAGCTCGGCCGTGCTCCGGCGAGCAATTCCCAAGGACGGGATGCTTACCACGGCAAAACAGCGAGAGCACGGGTGCGTGGGGTGTGGCGGAGTCAGAGGCGTAGAGACGGAGTGGTCACCCGCATGAATGAGGGGCCGGGCGAAGCGAAGCTCGGCAGCGCGATCGTGGTGAGAGGAGAAGTGAGGAGCGCTGGAATGCACGGGGTGCTGGGATTCAAGTCATGGGCCAAGATGCTGCTGCTGGCGCGTGGGGATATGGTGTCGTGTCGCCACCGTCGACGGGTGGCGCCACCTGGCAGGCAAGCCTCGACGCTGGTCGGGGCGTGGCATGCGGCGACGAGCCTTGTGCTGCTGGAGAAGGAGGCAACTGGCTGGGCCGAGGCGAGGCGAGCGATATGGCTGGCTTTCTTTGGGCAGGCTTTACCGTGGGGCCGGGTTTAGGCGGTGGCCCACGAAGAAAAAAAATACTTTTCCAAATATAGTTTCAAGGAATTTTTACATGCCATCTTTCAAATATCATTTTGAGCAAGAAAATGACCTCTTTTGAAAATAGTCCAAAAATGAAAGTTGCTTAGAATTTAATTTTCTACAACTTTGCTTTTATGACCACAGCTAAATTCTTTCTAGATTTTGAATTGCAAGGTCAAAGTCCACGTTTAACTCAAAACCCTAATTTTTTTGGAATTTATTTTTGAAGCCAAATTTTGAATTAATTTGAATACAAACTTTGCTCCAAAAATTGAACTAAACATTGCTAGATGATTTACAATAGTAGCCAAACATGTTTTATTAACCTAGCAAGCAAAATCAGGGCAAAACAAGTCTAACAAAGGTATGCAACATTCAGGTTTCACAACGTGTTTCAAATGTTTCGAAGCAGTGTTTCAATTGTTATTTACATGATTAGGCATGTGTGATTAGAATGCTTGATGATGCATGATATGCATGATTTGCAGTGACTAAATGCAGGCATAACACCGGGGTGTTACAGAACCTTAACCATTGATATTTTTAGAATACTTTTACATACCGCAAACATATATATAAAATAAACAAATGCATATACTTCATCCATCCTAAATTATGAGTCATTTTAATTTTCTTTGAGAGTCAAATCATCTCAAATTTGACCAAACATATATAATAAAATAATAATATTTATGATATCAAATGAGTATCATTAGATTCTTGATTAATTATATTTTCATAGTATACCTATTTCATGTCATAAGTCTTTGTAATTTTTTCTATAACTTTGGTTAAACTTGAGATGTTTTGACTCTTCAAAAATTAGAATGATTTATAATTTCGAATGGAGGGAGTGTTTGTCTACAAAACCAATTACAATGTTTCATGGCATCATGATCGTATTAGGTCTTAGTCTATCAACGAAGTTTTATACTCTCTCCGTTCTACGTTACAAGTCGGTTTGATTTTTTTATACATCTATTTTACTATGCATTTATGGGTGCCTCTGACATTGGGGACGCGCATGTTGGATGCAGAGCGAGCACTAATCACTCTCTGCCTTGGTGGAGATGCATGTGTAGTTACGCTTATTTCGCAAATGTGCGGTCCAGTTCAATCTGCCTCTCACCATCGCCTTTAGTTATTCCCTTTGTTGAACGAACAAACGCGGGTCAAGACCAAAGCAAAGCAAAGCAAAGCAGCGTCGATCGAACCTTCGAACCCTCTCTTCTTCTCCCTCTCAGGCTCTCACAAGCCACAAGCTCTATCAGCTCCGCAACGGGAGGTCCGGTACGGTGGTCGGTCCAGTCAGCCATGGAATCGGCGACGACGACCATCCGCCAAGCAGCGAGCGGGCCACGGAATCCAGCAAAGCAAAGCGGCCTACCTACCCCGAGCGCGGAGCCGGGGGGCGGCCGCCGTCTCCCTGAGCGCCGAGATGCCATTGCCGAATCGAAAAAAGCCTCGGCTGGGCCGCGGGCGCACTTTTCTCCACTCGTGCTGTTGTTGTTGGTGTCCTTGCGTACTCGCGGGGACGCGCGAATCGCCCGGCCGGCGCCCGCAGGCGATGGGACGCCGCCGAGCACAGTGCCGGAACCGCGCAACAGGTCCCCCGACGACAGCAACACCATTCCGTCCTTTCGATTAGTTAACGCTTGACAGAACGGGCCCCCGGGGGGAACAACGAGCACTCTCCATCATGGCTTTCTTTGATTCTTTCTTGCATTGGTCACACTGTGCACGCGCGCGGGGGAGGGGATGTGGGCAGATGGCATCGCCATCGATGCGATCTGCCCGGGAAAACGACATGGCAATATGGCATGGCCGCATGGCGCTGCGGCGGGCGCGAACGGCGCGTGGTGTGGCGGGCTGGCGGCGGAGTTGGTCCGTCCGTTCGTTCGCGGCTCACATGACGCTGCAGCCGACCGTGTTGTCGTCGTTGAAGTAGTCCTCGTCGAAGCGGGACGGCTGCGGCCGGACCTGCGGGTGCCACTGGGCGGGCGGCGCCATCGGCATCATCATCGGCGGCGGGGGAGGGGGCATGCCGTAGTAGCCGTAGTACGGCACCGCCGCGGCAGCCGGCGGCGGGTAGTAGGCCGGCACGTGCACCGGCACCACCATCGCCGGCTCCGCGCGGTGGTAGTGCGCCTGCGCCTGCGCGTGGTGGTGATCGGGTGCCACCGCCAAGGGCTTGGCGCCGAATAATCCGTCGGCGTCGCCGCCTTCCTCGCCGCTCCAGCCGGCGGCGGCGGCGTCCTTGGACGATGGCGCCTTCTTCTCCCCCCTGCCGTGGTCGCCATTGTCGCCCTCGGGCATGGCGCGCGCGGCGGCCTCGCGCGCGCACTTCTTGCACCCCTCATGCTTGCTCGGCGCCGCCTTAGCCGCCGCCTTGTCACCGCCGTCGTCCTTGCCCTTGCACTTCTCCTCCGCCGCCTGCGCCGGCGCCGCCCTGTCGCCGTCATTCCTGCCGCCGCTGACGTCGCGCTGCTTCTTGCCCTGTTCAGAAGCCGCCGGCGCCGGAGGCAGCAGCTCGGCGATCTTGCCGACCTTGGCCAGCTTCTTCACCAGGACCTTGACGTCCACGTCGCCGACAACGGTCACCCGATCGTGCGACGGCTGGATCTCCGTCCTCAGCACGCCTGCACGCCCATTGACGCACCGCACACACGTACGTCAGCACCAGGCTTTGTTTCAGCGGAAGAACAGAGCAGCACAGCCCCAAACGCGACAGAGACACTTGAAATCTTGGGCAGAGAAGAAGAGGAGCGATCGTGACCTTTGAGGCTCATCGCCTTCATCACCTTCCTCCTGCAGCCGTCGCAGCAGCTCACGTTCACCTTCAGGTCAATCCTCTTTACGCCACACCACCACGGAGCCATGTCAGTATGAGTCAATGGCAGCAGGAAATACGAGCATTAACGAGTCAAAGCATGCAAGCGCCGGCCGAGCAAGCTAAGCTTCGGTAGGTACCTTGAGCTCTTCTTCCCTAGCCATGGCGATGATGACTACGGCACTGGAGCTCGCCGGAGAGACTGGCTCTGCGTGGGAGCTGAGCTGCTGCTGCTGACCAGACCAGCTGACTGCTGCTGCTAAGTGTTGATGACGCCCTTCGCCGTTGCTGCGGTGCATTTTATACACGGCCACATAGGCAGCTTCATTACCAACTGATGGACCATTAGATACCCCCAAACGTCCACGGTCCGTTGCTCGATTCCGAGCTGTATTTACTTGCGTTATTTTAATCGCCCTAGCTCCAGGGAGAAGAGGTATATACCGGGACAACTCAAGCTCGTGTACTTGCAGACTTGCAGTTGCAGCCGCTCACTCTTTTTCCCCCCTCCCTCTCTTTCTATGCTTGCGCCAGCATCATGGACTCGTAGGCTGTTATGTGATGACATGTTCTTTGGCCAGCTCTAGTAACAATGATATAGAGCGAATGTTCTTTCCTGAATCCGTACATGCTCTTCTCAAATTAATGAGAAGAATATAAAAATTGCACCGCTTCTGAAAGTAGTTAGTTGCAAGTGCTCTAGGATCTCTGCAGTTACTGTTGCTCATGATAGGGCAGTGCTCTGTTTCTCACCATCCAAATCATATACAGCTGAAAACGTTACATGCCTCATATCTTCTCGAATCATATACAGCTGAAAACTCGTCATGTTATTAACCGGAGAACATAAAACTAAAGTGCCCATACGCATATTCAAAATTAACCGCACGCTGCAATTACACAGACAATTAACACAAAATACCCTTATACCTGCTTCCTCTATTCCCATTATCGCCATTGCAAAAATCTGTAGTATATTGTATCTTTGTAACTGACCAAATAAAATAGCGTAATCAACTTCCTCACATACAAGCAAAGGTCTTTGAGACAAAAACTGAAGGCAAGAACTTTTTAGCTGTAATTAAAAACAGTAAGAAGCCAATCCAGCATCATTGACCTACGAAACAAACTAGAGCCTCACGTTTCAACCACACGAGGAAAAAAACAAAGAAAAGAAAACGTGTGAAAGGCCTTCTCTTGTGGAACAACTGCAACAAACATAGGGCGTGTGAACCTGCATGGCAAGCGGCAAGCCTCAAACTGGCCAACAATACGACTTGTGCTCTCGAGCTTTTGGAGTCAATGCTGATACTGTCTATGCAAGTCATCCGAGGGACAACAAGGAAGCTATCAGCAATGGCCATTAATGTAGCTGAAGCTTCTCCATGTTTATGCTCTGCAAAAAAAAAACATTACAGGCAGCTTATCGCCGGCAGGAGGTAAGCTTGCGCCAGAGCAAGGACGTCACGCCCGCATAGGGCTTGTTTGCATGCTGTCCTGGAAAACATACCTGATTCAAACAACATTATCAAGTGTTAAATTTCTAACGCTTGTGGTTGGATCAAGCTGCCTGGCCTGCAGCTCCCAGGACCGGCAACAACCATTACCAAACACCACCTAAGTCAATGAAGAGTGACAATGGAAGTCCGTGCAATACTAACAGTACAAAGAATGAACGAAATCAACTACAGATAATAGTAGAATAAAATTTATGCGATTAGCTTAATTGAGGATTACATATGACAAATTGTGAACTCAAAATCTAATTGTAGGTCTTCTCGATATTTGCATAATAATTGTAATTTATATGATAAACCATAAGGATATCGGAACGACTAGCGCCCAGACGTCCGGTGCAAGGCCTGCATCCGGACGCCGCTCCACATGTCCCGCGCCTGCGCTCCGTTTCGCACGCCCCACCCGCTCGGATTCTGCGCCGCTTGAACGACTCGCCCCACCCACGCCGCCCGTTCCCACACGGGCCCACGTCGCCCGAACATCACCAGCATCGAGAAGAGGAGGGGACACCGAGGCGAGGCAGTAGAAGGCGAGGAGGGAGATACAATACCCGATCTACTTTTGAAACATCCAGATGAAACATTTGCAACATACATTCGAAAACAGTTGAGACACTTGCAACATACGTCTGAAACACTTGTAAAAACACCTGAAAATAATTAAAAAAAGCCATTACAAAATATATACAACATCCAGATAAAATATATGCAACATATGTGTGAAACATATGCAGCATTCAGATAAACACACTTGCAACGTACGTCTGGAAAAACAACTGAAACATTGGGAACAAAAGCTTGCAACATATGTGTATAACCACTGCAACATATGCAACATCCCGATCTATTTTTGCAACATCCACATGTAACAATTGCAACATCCACATGAAACATCTGAAACACTTAAAACCTATTTTTGCAACATGCATTTTCGGCGCGCAATTTCACCTTGCTGCTTGGACGAATCACGGAGCTCGACGCCGCCGCGGCGCATGAAGTTCGTCGGTGCACATCTGGGCGAGGACCTGCTCGGTGGCCTGGTTGTGGGTGGGCACCTGCGCAAGGCGCGCGAGCACCCCTGGGCGAGAACCTGCTCCTCGCCCTGGGCCAGCGCACCCTGGGCATGGCGGAGGACGGGCTTGGCGCCGTGGGGGGTGGCGGAGGCGCCGCGCTGGAGTGGCCTGGCAGGGTCGGCACCCGAGGGCTGCGCCTCAGAGGCGGTCGTGCGCCGCGCCTGGCTGGGCCAGTGGCCGAGCACTAGAGGCGGCAAGCGAGTGGATGGGAGCAAGTGAGCGGATAGGAACGAGTACGTGGACAAGCTGATTTTTTTTTATTTAGAAACGGAGAAGCGTGGGTGTTGGGCTGGCGTCGCGCTGCCGTCCGGCCGCCCCGGACATCTGCTTCCTAGTACTAGCGTAAGGATATTTAGAAACTCAAATAATTCATAAATTGAATGTATGGTGATCAGCAGTAACTATATTGTGCAATTGAGTTTGTGACAACTATGAAATGCAAATTTTCTTTGTTCTTTTTTATAAAATATATAACAATGTGAAAGTTTTAAAAGATTAAACTACACAAACATAGCCACTCAAATGCACGGACCAACTTGCCGGTTAATAATGTGTGCGTACGTTCATGTGGGTGAGTGTACACTTGTGTATGTGAATGTCCGCGTCGGGTCTCGAAAAAAAAAATGTGACATGAAGAAAATGAGAAAACGTTCACGGCTATCATCCATTTCGTACAAATTAATAATGCAACATGAAGGTTCCTATTATGAATTCCTACATGTTCTTTTAAAATGGAACTTGCACAGATCCTGAAGCAATGAAAGTTCAAATGCAAGCTGACAAGCTTGTCACATAAGTTGCCATTGCAAATGCTCTAAGCTGTAGGATCTCTCTGCAGTTCATCATACAACTGACCACACATGGATGCATCTTTCGTCTATGGCTCATTTATCACCATCCATTCCATATACAGCTCAAAACATTTCATAAGCACAATTAGCTAACGGCGCTGAATAAGTAGCCTCCCCATGCATGTTACAAAGTACTAGTATACAGCAAAAGGGGGAACACAATATGCCGACGATCTGGTAGGACTATACATGTAGCCATACCCCCAAAGTGTCGATCTGGGGACGGGCACAAGTGCATAGGACAGGCTTTTAGTCCATGATTAACTACAGCCAGGCGCACAAATACCCGAACAAACCGCTGTGATTAGTTTAATCCAAAGCATTAGCTCACAATTGTACCGATGGAGAAAGCGGAAGCCCATCTGTATGGTGACGCCTGAGCATTCTAAGTGCCTCACAGTCTAGCATAGGTAGGAATAGAGCAGCTGCGGCCAATAAACAAGATGGGACGGACATTATACATGTTGCAGAGACCATCCCTTTTCACTTTCAGGCTATCAGGCTTGTCATTGTGCGTCCTTGGTTCATGCGTTAAACCTGCAAAAGTAGAAGTCCACTGGTTCATAAGAGAGATGAATTGAATGGAATCGCTGAAAAGGCATTGATAAGGAATACAGGATATTCGGGGATCACCTTTCAGCGAATACTTAAACCAGATCTTCAACTCAATTTTAAATTCCGATCGATCATGATTTAGCTATGCTACTTGTATTATACAAACTATGCATCTGCTGCTCCCTGAGCAATACCACAGGGCCAAGAGCCCCACCATCACAGCATGCCTGGAAAGTGGCAGCTTTGGTTGGAATCTGTACTCTGGACAAGAATTGCAGGGTAGAAGTAGGAACTGCAGGGTGCAGGGTAGAAGTAGAAGCGTAGAACATTGTTGTTATGCAGCCATCCGAGCTTCCTCAGAGTCCGGGATGACAATGTCAGTCCTCATCATGGGCCGATACTCGTCAGGTATTTCAGCCCCCGCCTGCACACACAGTTCTACGACAGCTGGAGCTTTGCCATAGAAACTCCTGAGTGAGGATCTGAGAGGAGGACCACTGGGGTCAGGGACATGCCACACGTAGTTGGGAGGGATGACCTCATCAACCACCGCGTCCTGCCACCCATGCTTGCCATCCCGCCACTGGTGCTTGAAAGCCCCGCAGAGCTTCACATTGTGGCCCCATGGACCGACATGGACCTCAGAGCAGTATCCACATGATTTCACAGTGTACTTGCTCATCAGCAGCTCGACGCCTCGTCGGACATTGAGGTATGCTTTCAGTGTCCTCTCGGCGAGCTCTTGCACATTTGATGGTGAAGGTGACTGACCTTGTTGGTTGCTGAATGTGTCGAGCTCAGCAAGTAGAGATACACAGTCTTCTGACCGGTGTGGCTTAGGCTCATCAACAAACTCACCACGGTCAATCATCTTCTTGCCTATCATCCGGACAGGAGCAGTCCGTCGCCTCGAGGGATATTGTGGTAAGTCGACACCAGCCTGAATGCATAGCTCAACAATTGCTGGAATCCTGTCATAATCAAATCTGGTATCATGCTTCACTCTCCGTCCAAATGGGTCAAAAAGATGGTAAGACTCGATTGGGATGAGGACATCATTGATGGAACCTCTGGCCCAAGAGTGATGACTGTTCCGACGCTGGCTTCCTGAACCGTAGCAGTCTTGGATCTGGTGGCCAACTGGACCAACATGGACTTGAGGGCACTTTCTGCAAAATTACCAGCCACCAACAAAAAGTTCAGGATACTTGGCAAATCCTTGCAGACAATGCTGATTTCATGCATTGCTATGTAAGAGTGTGTTCAGATAATACTGCTCTTTTTTTTGGCACCTACAAGCATGATGCATGCACACACACACACACACACACCACCATGATACTACTGCTTGTAATAACAGCTGCTGATATACTGAAGCATTTTTGTAGTTACCTGCAGCCATAAACTGTAACAACATTCAGAAGTTGAGAGAGCCCTCTGATGAGCACTTTCCAGTTATCAAGGACTTCATGAGCAACCGGAACAAGCTCTAGCACAAGCAAACCGTTCTTTGGGGGGTCAAGAGGCTTCTCTATATGCATTTGTGCAAGCCTCTTATCTCGCCGAGAAGCTTGCAACATCTTTTTAATCGGAACAGGAAAGGGTTTCTTTTTGTTTTTTGGATGTAATTCTGGAAGATCGACGTTCTGTGGTTGTTGCTCATACTTCTCCTGCTTCTTTCTAGAAGTACCAGGAGAGTACTCGCAACATGTCTTTGTTAGTTTGCAGCCAATTTGTTGTGGTTGGAATCCTACCTGGACAAGTAAACGAAAAAAAGACAGGTGTAAAAAATATATATGTTGAGACCATTCCACAAAACCCCAAAGACTGTGAGAGATCGACAAATTATTTCTGAATATAATCTGCTTGCATAGTAGTCATAATTAGTGCAAGCTGAATGAGGAACTCATATCATAAAAAGAAAAAACCCTTGTGTCCTTGTCAAAATGACACTGCAACAAGCATGGAAGATTATGAGCATACTACTCTCTTCGCTTCCTTCAGCAGACCCCATAGACCATAGTCAAAAATAAGGAAGATTATGGGCATACAACTGACGTCAAACTGCATATGACAGATATTGACAAAGTATTTCACTGCAACGAACTACACAAAAATAAATGGAATAGCTTCCCTTTTGATCACCTAGAAAGATTGTATGGCACAATTTGTGTTAAATGTCCTGACCTACATGCAGTTTCAGGCTTCTCCTCTTTTGTGTGTTCAAGCAACACATTCATAACTGAACGAAACTAACTGCAAAGATAGGGCACGAACTGGGTACCTTCACTGTCTTGTTTATTCTAGTTCTGCTGATGCCAATGGAGTTGAAGGAAACACCTAAATCAAGGATCAAAAGGTAAATGTAAGAAGGTGGCAATACACGACTTCAACTGCCATAACTACTAAAATGCTGATACGGTAATGAAACCTACTGTTCACAATCTCCATTGCAATAGCTCGAGTCCCCAAAAGGTTCGGGGGCTAAGATTATTCTTCGCCGAAGAATGTATCCCCCGTGTCCGTGTGGTCAGTGCATTGGCGCAGGTCGACCTACCTACTTCAGGCAGGGGCGGACACAATAAAGGACATGGGTATGAGAACTAAGTTAGTAGGCATAGTACATGCATACAATTACACTTGTGATTAGATCAGATCCGAATACAGATAGTTTATAAATTAGCTTAAATCAGTGTTCGGGTGCTCAGTTTGCACAGATGGAATGGAAGAGAGTGGGGCGGGCATACCTGGTGTGGTGGGTGCTCGTCGCCGGCAAAGGTGTCCGACAGAGACCTGGGCAGCTGGGGCCTGGGAATAAGGCGGCGGCGATCGGACCAGGCGAGGTGAACGGAGAAGAAAAACAGCAAGCAGGTGTTCCAATAGAGGCGAGCAGGGGAAGAAGGCTTGGCGACGTCCCGCGGCGGGCGTTCCGTTAGCCGGGTTGCCGGCGACCAGCGAAACCGAGAGGTAGGGGATGAGAAGGAAATTGAGAAGGGGGCTAAAAATATCCTCCCGTTACATTGACACCGGTGCCCTGTTCGCTTGGGTTAAACTTGGCTAATAAAATACTGTTTTAACTAAATTTAAGAGAAAAATATTATTTTGATTGAAAAAAAACGTCGAATAAATCGATTCACGGCCCCCTTTTGGTTAATTGGGACCCCTAGCTGCCGACCCCCCTGTAAGTGAATCCCGACGACCCCCACTACCGCTCAAAATAATAATAATAGTAATAATATTTTTTTCCTCACTTCTTCAAGTGGTCCAATTCAATTATGGCCCTGTTCACTTATCTTATGAGCAATATTATTTTAGTGAAAAACAGTATTTTTTCTCTCATAACAAATCACCGAAATATATTTTCAGACACGACTTTTCAGCAAAACGAACATGACCTATATTATTGAGTCACACAGCAGACCATGCACCAGCATGCACTAAAAGCCGATATTACTGACATCAGCACATATCCTATACTTTTTGAGCTAATAAAAAGTCATATCTCTCAAACTAAGTATCCTAATTAAAATTCGATTGCACCTTCGTGTTCTTTGCAATAAACTCTTCAAAACAAGATCTCATATGGATATATTTCGATAATTTTTTTAACGAACATTTATCTTATGATGAACATCTATTTAAAGATAATCGTCAAACATCACATTAACACCACACAAATATTGCAGAAAATAGTATACAACATCATACGTATGCTACGGAAACATATATATCATGAAATATAAAAAAATAAAAATAAAATTAGTGAAGTAATTAATTATAGTAAAATAAAAAAAGATGTTACCGAACATCACAATTACACCGTAGAACATCACATTAAAATTTTACGAACATCGCTAAATATAGCATAAAACATCATATGTATACTACGTGAGCATCATAAATATCATAAAAAATAAAATAAAATAATAAAATTAGTGAAGTAATTAATTAGAGTCAGATAAAAAGAATAAAAAAATACTACCGAACATCATAAAAAATATCCTAGAACATCAATGTATGTTACTGAACATCACAAAATACATCGTGAGACATCACATTTCTACTCGCGGACATTAAAAATTACATGATAGAACATTACATGTATATTACATAAACAACACGTGTGTCTATAAATATAGTAAAACATACATTGACGATAAACCTGTATTTAAATATAATCATCGAACATCACATTAACACTACAAGAACATTGTAGTAAAATAGCATAGAACATCATGTGTATACTACGCGAACATTATATATACCATGAAATGTAAAAAAACTAAAATTTGTGAAGTAATTAATTATGGTCAAATAAAAAGAAGAAAAATGTCATCGAACATCACAAATACATCGTAGAACATCACATTAAGACTACACTAACACCGCTAAATAAAGTATAGAACATCATATGTGTCCGTAAACATTACATGAACATATGTCTATAAATAAAAAACAGTAAAACATAAAATTATAAATAGAAGAAAAAATAAAATTAAAAAAGAATAAAATCCGAAAATAGAAAATGAAATAAACAAAAATACTAATTCTATCAAAAAAAAGAAACTAAAAAGTATAAATGTTTAAAAAATATAAGAAAAATAAAAAAGAGAGAAAAATAAAAAAAAACAAATAGAAGCAAGGAAAGGAAAAAAAGGAAAAGAAAATAAAATTAATAGAGTAAAATATAGAAGAATAAAGAAAATGAAAAGAATGGCCAAAGTCCAAAAAAAAAAGAAAAAAGGAGAAGGAAAATAAATGAATGAAAGGAAAGAAAAAAAGAAATCAAAGAAGGAAAGAAAAAAAAGAAAAAAGGCACAAAGAAAAAAAAGAAAAATAAAAAATAAAAATAAGAATAAAAAACACAGAGAAAAGAAAAAAAATAGAAAAAAGAAAAAAAAAAGAGAAACGCAACTACCGTACCCACACCTGAGACCTACGACACGGAACGGACACCTGAGACCGATGACGCGGAACGAACGGAAAAGAAAAAAAAAAGACCGCAACGACAGGGAACGAGCGGAAAAGGAAAAAAAAAAAGAGACCGCAACCACCGGCTGGGCCTTGCGCGCTCATGGGCCGAAATCGCGAGACGGATAGGGGGGGTCGGCGCGAGGAACCCGTCCGACTGGTCGGCAACGACGGGTTCCGAGGTTAATTGAGCTGTAGAGTTTGGGCCTGTATGGGTTGTTTATTCGGGCTACAGATGTTTCTTTTTTAAAAAAAATATGCGATTTTAAAAATCCTAAAATCTGACTTGATCTAAGAAATTTTGTAAAAGTTTTTTTAACTTGAAAAATTATGAAACCACTTTCAGTTTTTAAATAATGTTCTACCTTATGGTGCCTAGGTTATAATTATTTGAATCTTTAGAAAATAACCATCCAAAGGAGTCCATAGAAGATTCAAGTAATTTTAATTTAGGCCATAATATAGAATATTACTTCGGGGAAAAAATATGAAAGTGATTTTCAGAGCTGAAACAATTTTTCTATGATTTTCCTAAGATTAAACCATATAGGAGCAAAATATTAGAATATTTTTTAGAAACAAATATTTATAGTTCAAAATTTACCTTTGCATAGTCTGATTCACCCTGTCGGTTGACGTGACACCATGAAAGATGGATGCATCAACAAACGGTTTTGAAAGTTGAAGCGAACAAAAATCTGGTATTATAAACGAGAAAAAAAAACAAACGACCACGGAAATTAAGAGTGTGAAAATGATTTTCCTCAACCATGTCAAGAGGTCGGCACATAGTTGAACTGCCTAGATATTATTAATGAAAAATAAAGCTTTGAAAGTTAGGGATGCATCAGTCGTCAATTTTGACCTCGGAAGAGACGATCGAGAGTAGACCTGATCGATGGGTCATGTCAGATTTGGATCGGGCCAGATCAAAATCTTTAGCACAATTGTAATCGATGCAGTGGAAGGTAGCCAGACTATTTCTCAAATTTTCTTCTGTTGAGTCAGTTTTTTCAGATTAGGTTAAGGTAATGGATTGAAAATTAGACGTAGTTAAGCCGTGATCCGTCACACGCTCTAGGAGCGCGCGACCTCGGCTGCGACACTTCATCTACCTTGAGTCGTGCCCTTCCTCCCCCACCTCGCCTCCGACCGCGCCGCCCATAACCCGCCACTGCCCAACGACCCCGCCCACCCTAAATACAGAGCAAGCTCGCCGGTGTTGTCCTCGTCCTCCCCCCCCCCCACCCCCGCCTCCACCATAGGCGCCCGACGGCAAGCCGCCTCGCCACACCACCCATAACCCGCTCCTGCCCATCGAACCCGCCAACACTAACCACAATAGCTCGCTGGCGAGCACCGCCGCCCACTCGGTGGCGCCCCCACCGCCTCGCTCGCCGCCCTTCAACCCGCCACCATCGCCGTGTCGTGGCCGCCTCACCCGAACTCCCTTCTAGAGCCACCAGTGATGCTGGAACCCTAACTTCGGAACCCTAGCTAGCCGTCGGCGTCCTCGTCTTCGTCTCCGGTGGGCCGTCGGCACGGCCACGTGCGTGGTCGGGCGCGGGCGTGTGGGCCGGCCCACGTCGCGCGCTCTGCGTGGAGTGCGACGGGTCGTCTGTTTGAGTTTGCATTGAAAATTATGATCCAAACTCCAACAGCGCTGGTGATCCAAGATCAGGTCTAGTAATAAACACCAAGAATTATTGGTGCTGGTCTAGTCCGAAAGACCATATATATTTATAATTATTATAAGAGTGAAATGCACGAAGGTCCATTAATTTTCGTGGGGGTGTCATTTATGTTCATCAACTTTGAAACTGTATTTTTGAGTCCATAATTTTTTAAAATAATTCATTGCAGGTTCATACCTATTTATTTAACCTTAAATACAAAGTACATTACCTTTCTTTAACTTCTACGCGCTCGGTGGTAGACGCTGCAACTGCGAGCGAGTGCCCTGTGGAGTGCGGAACCGTGCGGGCGCGCGGCCGGACTTGGAGCGCAGCGCGCGCTTCACGCTGCCGATGCGCATCAGCTCGTCGGTCTCCTCTCTGATGATCCTCTCCTCCTGTGTCTCCTCCACGTCAATGACCACCGCAGCAGCAGCGGCTGGCGGCGCGGCTGTGGGCGACGGCAGCTCCTGCGCGGGAGCCGCCGGCGGCAGCTGCAGCTCACCCACCTCGTGTACAAGCTGGAGCTCCCCACCCGCGCCGCGGCGCCAGGGAAACCGCAGGAGGCGATGAACGTGGACTGCGAGCTGCTGCTGATCGCGGCGTCGAACGACGTGGAGGACGAGCTTGGGCTCCAGCTTGTTGACGCCGTGTGCCGGAATGGCTGTCACGACGGCGATCGGCAACGCCGGCGAGCTCTCGGTTCTCTCAGAACACGCACACACACACAACGCAAAAGAGAGAGTGTTTCCGCCGCACACTGTCGCGGCCGTTTTTGACTTGCTTTGTTCTCTTTATTGAATGGTG